GTTGTCTAGTCCCACGTAGTTTTCTGTCAATACCAAGCTTTTACAGAACAACATCCTACAACATTATGGGATTATTGGATTGATTTTATATAATCAATAAATTATACGAGGAAATGTGAGTAACAGATGTCATAAAAAGGGTATCAAGAATGTATATCATGCAAAGCGGTATACGAAGAATTGCAAATGAGAGCTGATGCGTCGACGAGAAAAAATATTAACCATTCGTAATGGTCTTCTGATAGCATAGACTGTAGGCACCATAACAAGGCCTGTCGCCAGGCCAGAGAGGTGTTGGTCGAAGGTGTTCATTCGAGAATTACGAGGTTTTAAAACCTAGAGTCTTCAGTTGGGATCTGCGAGTCTTGTAATCCAGAGTCTCGCGGGCTTCCAAAAATTTGCTTCGAGCCATTAATTCATCATCTGAGGTAGGAGTCATTTTCAACTTTTGAAGTTGATTTATAAGGTAGTCGAGTTGGCCTTGTTGTCGATATTGCTCTAGATTAGGAGGTTTATAGTGGACCACTTCTTGAACACGGTCCATGAATTTGATATAGCGTTGGAAATTGATCAGCGGTCGGCCGTTCACTTGAACAATTGTAGGATGTTTTTGAAGGACGAGATGCAACTCCTTCAAGTGAACAGCTGTGAAATGGGAGGTAGATTAGTGAACGCTCCTTCCAGAAAGAAAAAAGTATGGCCGACCTAGCCAGGGGATGCAACAATCCCGCTCTTGGGAGCTTGTTGCATCATTTAGGGCCTCGCGATACCCGCGGTGGTTGGAAGAAGGATTAATGATATCGTCCAGAGCCTGCAGTCTGCCCTGCATCTGGACTGTCAACGCAGACCTCGTCAACTTCAGTCTTTCGATCGGAGCAGAGTGTAGTGCAGAGGCAATAGCAACCAGCGACGAGAAGTTGCGCAGTTTCCGACATTCCTAACGCAGAAGTTCGATAAGAGATGCTTAGAATCGAGTTGCTTGACTCACTTGGGCTGTGTGGATGAAGAACTTGAGAACTTCTGTCCGTTGTTCCACGCCATCATAATGTAGTATCGAATCTTTCACCCAAAAGACGATCTTATTATTAGTCGTGTACGCCCCTTCTACGGCGTTGTATCCGGGATGTCGTCTCAGGTGCGCAATATAATCTGAAGGAACGAGAACCTTATATTTATCTCCTTCATGAAGTGTAAGAGCAATCGCAAGATCGTTTGGTTTGATCTCTGATGCTTGAAGCGTCCTCCTACCAGGAGATAGAGGTGGCGGTAGGGTATCGTTACGTGCCTAGAAACGGGATTGAATAAGAATGAGGCATTTGCAATCCAAATCAGAATATGACGCACCCTGTCCTCAATAAGTTTTAAAAGATCTCTCGCTTTGTCGGACATGGTTACTGAAGACTTCATGCGAATGGCGGATTCACAGAAAGTCTTCATTTGCCAAAGCAATTGGTGATCTACTGGCAGATGACGATTAGAGAGCCAATACATGATGACCATGAATACGCTAATCATCTTTAGTCAAGTTCAGCTGGAGATTCAATGGATATTGGACTAACTTGTATTGTAATGCCACTCTGTCCTCGGGGTGTGCCTCTGCATTTGATTCAGCCTCATAAAAATGACGAGATAACATGCCGAAGAGGTCTTCAGGTGTTGTGAAGTCTGCACAAGCCGTCAGCAGAACATCTCGGTACTCTATGTCTTTTCGCGAGTCTACATGGAGGCTATCAGAAATGCGTTTAACTGCACAAGCCCATGAGCAACTCACTGAAATTGGTTATAAGGCGTTGAACAAGGCCTTCCAGTGTACCTGACGAAACCACGCCGGATTCGGTGACATTGACGATAACTCGAGTGTCCGTTATAGCCTCTCTTACTGGACCTGTCAGCTGAATGCCGGAGTCTGACGAAATGATACTTCTGATTGGCGAAGGTGTATTGCCATCGTGCGATGCAGATCTGTCGGTAGGGAAGTGTCTACCATCCGGAGTAGGTAAAGACGATGAGAGATGAGGGACCTCTAATGTCGGCGGGCTTGAATAGGAAAAAGATAAAGCGCGAGGAGAGAATGGGGGCGAAAAGGTCGATCGGCGGTCCAAGTCAGTGTGAAATGAAGGGCCCGTGCTCGAAACTGACTTATGCCGACCATTCCTTCGTTCGATTGAACCCGTCAAGAATCCAGGGCTAGGCGAGAGAGCGAGGGGTGATAATTGATCGATTTCTTGGGTCTCATTGGAAGGCATTGAGGGTGGTCGTAGTCTTTGGCCCGATATTGATGACATGGCACTCGTCTCGCTCGAGGTTGATGGCCTGCTCCCGCTGTGTTTAATTGACAATCGACCCCAGAATTTTGATGATGATGATGATGATGTAGGCCGGCTATCTGCAACAAATAAACACGGTTTAGCAACCACATATCACTTGGAGTTCTGCTAAAAAAAATACCTGTGCCAGATATTATTCCTCTTATTGCGAGAATTGAAGTCTTAACATCTGAAATTGGAGGCCTGGATTCCGGTTTTTTTTGCCAGCATCTTCGCATCAAGGCCCACATGTCGTCAGAAAGGCCTTGTAAGGTTGCAATTTGACCTGGATGGTCAGGGAGCTTGCCATTATCAAGCTCGCGGAGGACGGCAATATCCCTAGGGAAATTCCTGAAAGGCATTTCACCACTAAGGATTTCAAGACAGATCATGCCGAAGCTCCAGACGTCTGAATGCGTGGATAAAGGCCCTGTTTGTTGAAGAAGTTCCGGTGCAAACCATCGCGGGTTGAGGCTATGCGAGGTAGTCATTCCTTTTCGACACTAAATAGGATTAGTCTAACAGGAGAGGTTGCCTCAATGAAAACCCTTACATCCTCCAAAAATTTGGATAACCCAAAGTCGGAAAGTCGAGCAGTGCCGTCTTGCGAGATCAATACATTTGCCTTGAAATTTTATTTATTTAGCTCGTCGGGTGTAACAATGATGTGTTGTTACTGACTCCTCGAAGGTCTCCGTGGACAATTCCTCGATTGTGCAAATATTCAAGGCCTTTGCAATATTGTCATTTCTGGACTCGAGAAGGATGGGGCCGTACTTACCAAACGCAGCATCGGTCAAGAGCTTTAGTCGATCCACAGCAGGAAACTTCTTTACATATGAAACAGCTGTTCCATTATCCATCCAAGGGCTGACCTGTTTATTCACATGAGGCTGAAAAAAAAGTAATTTCTTTGCCCTTACGCACTGAGTACAGGTCTTCGCCAATATAGGTGACGCCATACAATGGGACTACGTTGGGATGATCGAGTTCTCTCCAAATTGATACTTCACGTTGGAAGTGCTGCGGGAGACATCAGCTACCGGTCTTTCAAAAGAGGTTTGAGCACTGACATGTTGGACTTCAGGACTGTTTGCAAGGGCTCTTGGTGAGCGCAAGGCAACCTGTGCATCATGTTAGCTGAGTACTGTGGGTATCAATGATATGGAACTGACTGGTTCTCTATCGAGCCATTGGCCTAGAGTTCGCGAAAACACGATCAGGTTAATCAGACCGAGGCCAAAAGACAGCTTGTACACAAACCGCGAAATATATCATTGAAGGACCCTTTAGCTATTGTACTTTGGGAGCTCAAGGTTACTTGACCGGACACTGTATTTGAAATGGTGAGTGGATTTCCTGCAATACTTAAAAGCAGACTCACAATCTGTCAGAGGTGGTAACTTCGAGGTCTTTTGGTGTAGCTCCCATAGTCCTGCCTTGAAAACTTCTTCTTCAATTGGCTCTAGAGAAGGATTCATTAATTCCTAAAATTTTTATTAATTTGTGAGAATTGAAGAAAAAAGTTGATAATCACTGTTTGGAGGCTCTCCATCATTTCTTCGACAGGACGCGAATCACGAGAAGGCTGCATGGTCAACAGAGCCTTCATATCCTCATTGCTTTTAACAATGACTTGTAGGAGGTCCCTTATTTCAGCTTTGTCACGCTCCTGGATTGCTTTCGATTCAAGTTGACCTCGTGTCATTTCCATATTCACTTGAATCTAGGAATCGAAAAATTATAGTTGACACCGACAGAAACGGGACGATGGGCACGTACATTGAACTTCATCATTGCAGCGTCAATATCTCGGTGAAGTCTATCGATTCCGTCCTTGATTTCTCCTTGTTGAAGAAAGCTCTTGAGTTGGTTCCATGAACCCCATTCTTTGACCTTTCGATGAATGCGCACAATAATGCTGGATGAGGAAAGAATGGGGGTCAGTCGAGTCTGAGAAAGATATAAAGGTTCTGTGTGATTTACCTTTCGATTTCATCAGCAATTTCTTGCACTTTGGAGCCCTCCAAACCTCGAGAACTATCGCGAAGAGCGAGCATCAAGTTAACACAACGCCCACCCATGTCCCCGCATTGTTGCTAATAGAGAAAAGTTCGATGTGATCAGTGTCTGGACAGTATTACAAGGTGGCTCACCTTATACAATTTGACATTCTCGATCCCAGCGTATGTAGCCCGAACTATAGGGAAACATCACGATCAGCTTCATTGTTATCGGGTTAGCGCGAGCGTCGCACGTAATGAAATGCATGTACTAAGACCTGGTACAGGTGACAATGAGGCCAACGTTGTCGCAATATCCATTGAAAGAGTGGGAGAAAGACTGCACTCTAGCGGAGAGAGACAAGCATGGAGGGTAGAGATCCTGACGTTGAGCGGGCAGGCACACGGGACAAGCGCCTGACTCCTTGATCGCCTCACGCCTGAAGCTGTGCAGATACAAGGCACAGAAGTACATGCGGGCTTTACGAGGAGCTGGAAAAGTTAAAACAGGTCCCAATCGGAATCCGCTTATCAGGCTCCCAGTATCAAACTAGGATCCAGTAATTACAGCCTTCTCATGGCCCCCCGCGGCCAGGCGAAATTTCGTGATAAGAAACGATCGCGAAGACTATTTTTAGCACTAACTGGTTTAGCCATGTATTATTGATCAGATGGCCGAATAATTTTGATGGGTAGCGTGGCCGAGTTGGTCTAAGGCGTTGGATTTAAGAAATGTCTTGATTCCCAATGGGCGCGAGTCCGCGCGAGTTCGAACCTCGCCGCTACCACTGTGTTATTTTTTTCTTTCCTTGCATTCTGATTGGCTGGAAGGGCACTGCTATCCCTTGCTATCCATAATCCAGCCAGTTTCCGGCACTTCCTAGTTTCTGCTAGTACACCAAGTTCATTGACATACACAATACTTTCTCCATCACAAGCAAATCCACTTCCGTTTTTACAAATGTCGCTAAGATCTCTTTTTCAGAAAATCTAGTTCATGGAAGCATATTGAGAGCTGCATTGAAATAAAAGGCGAGGATAGAACTCACGTCGCTGATGCTGTCGTGCCCTCCTGGGCCTTGCCTGACCCTGTTTAATGGTCAGTCGACGGTTCACCGCATGTTACTTATATAACATACCGGCGTGTAGGTTTGAATTCAGTCGGTTCCTCAGCATCCCAAAAGTTTGACAAGCTACTGTTTCCACCGGGGTTTTCCCGAACTCGTCTAAATGGTTACGTTATAATAATTATGTTCCGTAGAAATAAATGGCTTCTCACCGGGTGGGTTTACTAGAGGATGGAAAGTTGATACCAACTTCTTCGGGCTCTTCCTCTTCAGTTGTCTGAGTGGCTGTTGTTGGTGCGGTGGACTTGCTCGGAACGTTGGTCTAGTACGAGAGTCATTCTAAAAATATATCACTTCGTAAAGCATCAGAAAGACACACTTGGGCTTTGGGAGGAGCATGGGACAAGGCATCGCCCTCATCGTCAAGAGCAAGATTAGCGAAAATATCTGTCTGAGGGCCACCTGGCGCAGTCCGCACACGTCGGGAAGGAATGAATTTATTTGCTGGAGCAGAAGACGGATCTGGACGGTGTCAAAGGTATGGAATGCGTAGCAGCTGAGCGATGTTACCAGAATCAGCCACGTTTTCCGTAACATTGGCTGCAGTTTCGGACAGTTTCCCAAACTTTGCATAGCCTTGGAGTGATACATTAGTTCTAAGGTATGTCGAAGGACAATACGCTTTCATACGTACGCGGAAGCTTTCCGATGGTGCTAAAGTTAGTATCCACAGTCGTACCGGTATATCTGTGGCGTCGGCTGTTCAGAGACTTGATGCGAGGCATGGCATGAGAGACACACGAACTTCAAAAATTCAATAAGTGTCCTCTTTGTGAAAACGATGCTTGTGTTATCCCAGTCCAACATGCCTAAAAGGCATTGTGATGTGAGTTAGATCTTCACTTGATGTATTTTTTTCTTTCATACCAAGGCTAGCGGGCCAGTCCCGCTCCTTGGACATGTCTATGACTTCTGAAGGAGTAAATCTTGAAAGAATAGGGATTCAGTCGCAGAGCACTGTTGACCTCGGGAGAAATACCAACGTGGAGGACATTCCGTGTTATCGAAGAGATGGGACAAGATGGTTGCTAGGAAAGCAATCAACTGGAATGTAATATAGATAGTCACGGGATCGCGCGACTTGGTGCTTTTCATTCTGACGTGACACCAACGGTTCGGTGCAAAGATTGTATACTACTAGCATGCTACGAATACTCTCATCTCGCGTGGCCACACCATTCTGTTCAAGAGCTCTTACCACATTCTCGAGGCAAATTCCATCAAGCGCATACACAGAGCCATCTGGGACATATGAGCCCGCGACACAGACGACGCCTTCAGACTTGACAGTTTCCGAAAGACGAGCTCTGGAAAGCGCGCTTCGTGTCGATCAGGCAGGAGAAATTGCCGCGAATTATATCTACAAAGGCCAACTGGCGGTCTTGGGTCGCGATAGACTTTTGGGTTCTCTAATACAAGTAAGGCTTACGATGCCAGAACTTATCTATGGACTGAATGGTTGTTAACAGGAAATGTGGGATCAAGAAAAGAAACATTTGGCAGTTATGGACAAGCTACAAGTGCAACATAATATCAGGCCGACTGTACTTTCGGAAGTCGCGAAAGTAGCGGGATTCGGACTTGGGGCCGCCACCGCATTAATGGGCAAGGAGGCTGCCATGGCGTGCACCGAAGCCGTCGAAACTGTTATAGGGGAGCATTATGACGAGTGCGCGACACTTCTTTCATTGGGCTCAACCCCTGTTTATTTGTCTCCATTTAGTCAACTCAAAGAGTTGGATTCATTCTCCTCAAAACATCCCAGTCTTCCCCTCCTCAAAGACGTCATACGCGAATTTAGGGACGACGAGCTCGAGCATTTAGATATTGCGGTTGACAACTTTTCGCAACGAGCACCTGCTCATGCACTTCTGAGTAGTGTAGTTGAAGGCGGTTGCAAGATTGCGATCGAATTATGCAAGAGACTTTGATGTGCAAGACCAGCTGTACAACCCCTCCGAGACCAAGATCAACTGAAACTTTGAATGATTTGCGCGATGCTTCAACTAATTGCAAGTACAAGTCTATTCCTGAGTTGCGGTCCTTGGTTTCGACGCCAAAGGCTCGCCCTTCAATTTACCAGTGAAATCCCATCGTTGCTGGACAACAAAATTATTAACATGAATTTCGTGGAGATATTAAAACTGCAACGTACGTAGTAAGTGTCCGCGACGTAGTAGATTGCGGCTGGAACGACAACGAAACCCAACAGTGCGGTGCGGACAGTACGGTTTGTCCAACGGAAGTTCAAGTATACTTCCTCACGCTGTGAGGACTGCTTAGCAAGAGATGACAAGCTGGGGAGAACAAGACGAATAATACCATGTTGTTGAACCGCTCAATGGCGGGGTCAATCTAGAAGGAAGGACAACGTTAGGAAAACGGAGGGAGGGTTGATGGTACCGTCGCACCTTAACAGGTCCTGTAGACAATATTAATACATGAGAAATATTATCACAGGCTGGAGAACTACTGACCATGTCCCATGGCGACTTCGGAGGTGGCGGATGAGAGTAAAGAGGTCGGGTGTTTGTTTACTCTTTGTTTGTCTTGTTTCTTGCCTCTCTCCTTCATCTTCTAATCACTCATCTAATGGCTTACAACCGCGAATGGGACAAGGGAAAGGATACTTGGGACGACAGTTATGCATGGTCGGCACACGATGCCAGAGGAAACGTTAGAGAAAGGGAAGATGAGTATTACGGCGATGGCAAGAGGCGAAAATTCAACAACGGGGTACGTGGCTATGGCACGACAACGCTTACTGGTGGCTCATGATATTTTGAATTCAAGGGCTACGATGGTTCTCACAATTACGATGAGGCCTCGTACAATACCTCTTACAATCGACAACATGATTGGTCCCAGGATTTTGGACAGGAGGACCATTCACGGGGAACTGCTGGTGGATTTGCCAAGAAGCGTCTTGTACCCTCTGAACCAAGTCCTCATGTAATCTTCCTGGGATTGGATCCAGACTTCACAGAGGCCGATGTCTGTCGACTCCCATGTTCTTGACTCCTTTTATAACCGAGACTGAAGTCGCTTCCTACCCAGCTTCAGGCATACCTCGTTTCCAACGGATGCAGCGTGGAAACCGTGACAATTATTCGAGAGAGATCATCAGGCACTTGCACATTTGTATCTGCTCCTGCACATGCATTAACGTACTTCGCCGTTGGATTTTATAAGGTTCTTCGAAAGGCTTCGGCTTCGCTCAATTTACCACCGTCGAACACGCTCGCGCATTCGTGGACCCACTCTTCCCGTTCATACAAATGCCACCCCCGGCGTCCCATGGAGCTTCAGCAACGGCTACTTTCTATAAAGCCCTTGAAACGGGCATTCCGCACAATGGCCGGAGAGTGAAAATCGACTATTCGCAAAGCGCAATGCCACACGACAAGGCTCGAATGAATCGAGGAAATATGAACGATGGTACCCGCGATATTGGCAACGCTCAAAGTCCCATCCTTCTTTTTCGCGGACTGGATCCTCTTTCTGGTCCTCAGGCCATTTATCAGGCTATGTTGTCCTCTTCAGGTCCAGGGAAAGAAGGTGCAAAAGGGATGAGGCGTATCATCCTCATCAAGGACAAAGTCACAATGGCGAGCTTCGGCTTTGCATTTGTTGAATTTGTCGACGTTCAGGTGAGCACCTTATAGACATCTTTTGGGACGGTATATTGACTCTGGGTTCATTCAGTCTGCATCAACGGTTCTCGCAGCCACCATGTCGCCTGCATTGCATCCTTCGGGTTTCCGGATATCGGACCGTCCCGTAGCGGCATCCTTCGCCCATCCGTATTCCTTCCAACCCGTCACCGACTTCCTCTCTCGGGACGAAGCATGCCTCACATCAACAATGAGCCTTGGAGGGGTGGAAGGCACTTGGGTTAGGTATTGGGACGAGTCTTCTACAGTTGCTGTCCTCGAGTTCAAGGTGGACGAACCAGTGCAACCGACTACTCAGTCGAAAGAGAAGAAAGAAAAGAAAAAGGCGAAGGGTAAGCTAGAACTCCCTCGTTCGAGTCGTAATTGCTCATTTCGCGACAAACAGAATCGGACACTCACTCCAGGCCGGCGCCTGCAGTTCCTTCGGCCCTACCCCTTTCGGGTAAACCTGTCACCCTGAGCTTTACCAAGGGCCCAGTTAAACTCAGTGCAGGTATGTCATTCAAGACTGCTTTTTTCACTTCAACTGAATGCGTGGCAGCTGCCGGTCCCGCGAAAGCCATGGGTTTCTCTTTGGATGATTCCACTAATGGAGAAGATGGCCAAGAAGATACGGGTTCTGACCCAAACAAACGTATGTAACATCCCAATGTTCTTTCCTTTCCATCGTCCAAGTTTTCATGGAACTTAACAGCACTCGTGGTGAAAAGGGTCGCCCCGCTAATTGCGAGTAAGAAGGTGCGTCAGGATTTCTTTCATCGCCACCATTGGACGATGCCAAATTATCCACTGTTTCCTAGACCGTCAACAACATCAATAAATGGAACCAAGTACAAGAAGGACTCGCTCAAGAGACGCCTGTCCCTTCCCTGGTAAAACTCTGCGTTTATTCCTATGAAAATATGTCTCTCATCACTTTATCTGTGTACAGACCACACCGCTTAAAGATACCCCGGCACTCGCTGCTGCATCTGGTGTCAAGGCTCC